GAGAAGAAGATTTTTGAAATTTTAGTCAATTCGACCCTTTTTGGCCCCGCCCCTCAGGCTTCTGGGGCGTAGGACTAAACCGGCAACTAGTTTTGTTGACCTTTGTCCATGAAACGTCCCTGCAAAATTTCATTGCAATTGGTTCAGGGGTTTTGGAGAAGAAGATTTTTGAAATTTTAGTCAATTTGACCCCTTTTGGCCTTGCCCCTCAGGCCCCTGGGGGCGTAGGACTAAACCGGCAACTATTTTTGTTGACCTTTGTCCATGGAAGGTCCCTGCAAAATTTCATTGAAATTGGTTCAGGGGTTTTGGAGAAGAAGTCGAAAATGTAAATTGTTTACGGACGCACGACGGACGACGAACGACGGACGACGGACGACGACGGACAAAAGGCGATCGCAATAGGTCACTTGAGACTTTGTCTCAGGTGACCTAAAAAAGCGAAAAGGAAGTCTACATACATCTCAACTTTGTGACGCTGACCGGACGGGGGTCTGTACTATTTTTAACATATTCTACGGTGGCTTGATATATATTCAAAGGTTAGAAAAACAATGGCCAACGAAGACTGAAGGTGCATCGCAAAAACGTATTGCGTGGCATTTTATTATGTCGTTCCGGCGATTATGAAAAACCGCCATTTGCGACATATTTTAGATGATATGGTTTTCTTATCTTCTTAATTCTGAACAAAATATTCTAAAGGTGATATCAGCCGAGCAACTCTCGAAGTAAGATGGATAGATTATTCAGAGCACATTTGATTATCTGAACGGGACATCTGAAGCACTCGTCCGGGTTATGACACGTAAACTCTCCCGATGACACCCGGTTCACATTCCTTGCAAGGATTGTCGGCAAATGAAACTGTGAGGAAATTGGGAACACACCTCAAATGAATGAAGAAATTAAAGGCAACACCATTTCATAACACAACATACCAAAATAAACAAATCAGAATGGTAATACCCAAAATTTACATCAACAAACACGAATAAGCATCGCCCAAGTCACCTTTGTGACCCATTTGTAACCAAAATGGGGAAAAGGGGGGTGTGTGTGTGTGGG